TGATAAATGATGGTCGAAGGTCAGCTGTGGGTCCAGGAGGACTCCCAGGTTGATCAAAGCACTCAATTTGGCCATCTGCTAACTCCATCAACTTTTGCAACCATTCATCCATTGTAGGAATCAAAATGTCCTTCCATTTTTGTGTGCAAGTAATCCTGCTGCAGTCAACATACATAACATCAAAATTCCCATTTTTCCCCACTTCTTTTTCCATTAAATCCAGAAGAAAAATTTCTGGTTTTATCTTTAAATTCACTTTGAGAATTGTCTGTATTAAGACATGAATTCTACTTCAAGAGCCTCATAATATGTATTTGCAGGTTTTTTCAGTCTTTCACAAGTCTGCCATGAATGGTAAAATATCCCTTCATGCTTTCCATATTTTCAACAATGATTAGAATTATACATTTTAGAATTTAAGACTTACATAATTTCTCTGGTATTATATACCAGTGGAACATCATTTCATAGAAATTTTCTCTTAAATTTTAACTCAATATGAAATTCAGTGTTTTTAACCACATTCTTTCCCATTGATCCATCTGTATATTATAACCAAAATTCTCAACCTATTTACTCTTTAACTCGTTCTTCTATTTTAAATCTCAAGAAGTTTATACATATGAGCAATAGTTTTTTTTCTAGTCAGTTGTTTGTTATACTAATAATATACATGACTAACTAGAGATGCTTCAACCCTGTGTGGGTTGATAGATACATCATTGCCTTTGTACTGTATGGACAAGAAATCAAACAGATAGAAAAAATTAAATGTAAGTATGCATATGTGGACATTTATTTATTTATTTTGTCTCATTATTCTCCCATTAAAATATATTTCCATCAAATGAGAGTGCAAGTCCATTTCTTCTGCTTGCTTCATCTGTCAGTTTCTGTGGTGTTTGGTACTTAGTTTGCAGTAGATATTAATGTGTGAATTCCTATTCTTTTTCTGAATGATTGTTGAGATTTTGCCGAAGCATCTTTTTATCTATCCCTCAATGAACGCAATTCAGGTACTTCAATGTAAAACGGTCAGAATAGCTTGAAACTGACTTTTCTTATTGGAGAAATGCTCAGAGATTTTTACAATGGAGGCATTTCCACAATTGAAAAGAATGCTGTTTAGGTTCATATATGTTCTGGGATTTTCATTGGTTCAAGTAAGGCTAGGGAAACTTTTGATAGCTTTCATACAATCACAACCTCCCCAGGGATTGTCCAAGGTTGATGGTGCTATGTTCTGTTTATTGGCAAGCCAGGTCTTTCCAGGATTTAAGAATTGCTTGCACTTTTTTTACAATTTTTAAAAATTCAGTTCAACTTATTTAGAATTTATATCTTGGTTCCTATTTTGGGAGGGCCAATAGACAATAGCTCTTTTGACATTTTGAAAACATGTGGATACTCAAAGACCATAGCTATCACAAGGATGTGCAGATTAGCTGCCACGGTGGGTATTTCTAAAAATTAAATAATAGATTGGTACGAAGAGCCTTGAAAACATTGAGGGATTTTAGGGTTACTCTATATTTTTTGTGTACTTCTATCACAATACTGCAGAAAACTGCATAATTGAATTTCTAAGTTACCAGTGGTGCTAAAAACAAGGCAAAAAAACCTATTTTACTGTTAATTCTAATGCTTAGAATTGATACTTGCTTAACCAAATTCAGCCTTTACTGAAGATATGGTAGTCATCTGAGATAACGTCATTTCTAAATGAACTATCCACGTTTTAGAGAAAATCTCTTATCTTTTTTTCCCTTTCTATCTCTCTGTGTTTTTCCCCCCGCAGGCTGCTTATTTGACAGGAGGCTATGCTCTCAGCAGGAAGTCTGTGTGCAAGGTAAATTAATATAGCACAGGGGGTTTGTGGCTAGTAGACAATCAAAAGTGTTAAAATAGCGGGAGGGAAGGTAACTCCTGCCTGTTGCTGGGGAAAACTGCGAGCTGTTATGCAGGGAGAAGGGAAGTCAACAGTAGGGTCTGTTCCTCCCCTCATTCATTGAGACAACTTCTTTCAGTGTCACTGTATGCCTTTGATATTAAATATGTCCTTTGGGTTGCATATTATTATTATTATTATTATTATTATTATTATTATTATTATTATTATTATTATACAATTAATACAATTATTATTATTATTATTATTATTATTATTATTATTATTTAAGGCTTAATCTTCAATTCAATTCACAATCATGGACTAAAAACGAACAGTTCAAATCCTAATCAAGGACCTAAGAGCTGTTAAGGTAACGTCTTGAGTATATAGGCAGTTGTTATTAGTATTATTATTTTACATATATTAAATATCTATATATTACAGCTATATAGAAATATCAGTCTTCCTGATATTAAATGAAGGAGAGTTCAAGAGTGCCTGCTTAGCTGTTGAAAGCATAATGATTTTCTTTATCCTATTTCACCAGATACTGGGGGTGCAATCTCCACATTGCTAGGCTACGTATCCCAGCATTCCTTTGAGTTGCAATTAAATTTGAGACACCCCCCATTGTTAATTATCCATTATTGTGCACATTGATCTAAATGCTTGTCCCTATGAGTGCAAGAGGGCTTACTTCCGGAAACGCCTGCAGTCTCAAGTCCTCAGAGCTTGAAGAAGTGTATAATGTGTTCAAATCTTTTTGGGTTTTAGTGGCTCATATACAGATCCATTGTATAAGATCCATATACAACTCACCATGCAAATTGTATTTAGTTTGCCTGGAATTATTGGGTGCTTCCTTTCTCTTTCTCCCCATTCCACCTCTGTTGTTCTGGTACACATAGACAACTATCCCGTGAATTTGTTATCTTTCCAGATGGTTTATTTGGCCAGTGCCAAGAAAGTTCATTGCGAGACCAGCCCTACTTTCAAGTTACCACACCAGTGCTCCAGCGTTTGCAAGATATTCTACGGCATCTTATGGCACAAGGTGAATATCAGCAGTTAGAGGAGAAGAGCTAAGGATAGGATAGAGAAGGGAATTATCCCTGCATCAGGCAAGATTTTGGGTGCCTCCTTCCATCCTTAATACTATAGTCAGAAATATTTCTTTTCTCTGTGTCAGATTCATAATACAAAGTCCAGGAGGAATCTAGTGGCACCTTTTCAAGCTAACAAAGATTATGAAAAGCATTAATTTTTATGAGCTACAGTTCTCTACAGAGATATATTCAAACTGTGCCTCTTTTACCATTTTGGGGGGGAAAGCTCTCTTATTTTAAACCTTGTGTATGAATGTCTGCCATTGATTAAAATGTTTATTCCAAGCTGCTAGAATCTACCATATCTAGAGTTCAGCTTTCTTCAGTGATTAGAGTAGGGATAGACAATTTAGTTTCTCTCAGATGTTTTGAACTCTTGGCCTGCATGGAGAACCATAAGAGATCAGAGGTATAAGACAAAACATCTCAAGGTTATTGGACTGCCTGCTCCTGAATCAGAGGACATGTATCTTTTCAGCATTCGAGTCAATATTCGAGTTTTTGTAGCCATCTACTAACTTATTTTAACTTTCTATTTTCCATATCAGGTTTATCATGGCAGGATGACCTAACACAGTATGTGATTGCCCAGGAGATGGAGCACATCCCTAGGCTTTACCTTCCATCATCATGGAATTCTGCAGCTGAGGATAGGTAGGAAGAATAGTTTGGGATGTAGCTGCTGCTGCTTCTTAGCAAATATCTGCTGTTTAGTGTTAGGTTGCACTCAACAATAAACCATCTCCCTTGTTTTCGTTAGTACAACCACCTGCCTGGTCAGCAGAATGATGTGTAATGATGTGTAAATGAGATGCGAATATTGTTTGAAAAGCTGCTGTAAGTGTATTGATCATCAAGCCAAGAACCAATCATCTCCATGTCCTTCCTTCACCAATATGCCCTTCAGACACCTGGACTTCAAACCTTAGAATTCTCATCAATGGCCATCAGTGCTGGCTGGGGAATTCTGGGAGTTGAAAGTCTGAAGGCATCTAGTTTAGAATAAGCTGCTGGATACCTAATTGGAAGAAGGTTCCAATGAAGTCAGTAGAGTTTACTATTGAAGGAAAGTAGGAGTGTACTGGAAGGTACTCTTCAGACAACCAAAATGTGAATCAAATATCAAGTGGACATAAGAGGGAGAGGATATAATATTTTTTAAAAATGGAACAAAGAAAAAACATACCAAAACACAATATAGAATGAATAAGGGTTGTAAATGAAAGGTCCCTCTTCATGTTCTTTTTACTTATCCAAGAAGTGTCTGTCTGTCTGACTGTCTGTCTGTCTACTTATCTGTCTATCTTATCTAATCTAATCTCTCTCTCTCAATCAAATATCTCTCTCTCTGTGTATGTGTGTGTGTTGTGTGTATGTGAATCGTGTGTGTGTGTGTGTGTGTGTGTG